ATTTCCTTAAAAATAAAAACTACCAACCTAATCAAAACAAGCCATTTCCTGGATTACTTGAATTATTTAAACATTTAATACCACATCATCAGTTCCACAATAAATAAATTCCTTTTTATCTTCGTTGCAATCATAAATAGTTGGTTCCCATTTCCCGTGTGGCAATATAAATTGAACTAAATCCAATTTTTTTAATATTTGATTTTTGAATTTCTCATAAGGTATCCATTCTAAAATATGTTTGGCAATGATGAGAGCATCGAATAAAAATTATGTCGTTTCCAGATATCCAAGTAGAAAAAAGGCTCTATAATTGTAAGCTAATGCAATCTTCATGGGAATTTATCATTTATTGGTATAAGGCTCTGAACAAATCAACGAAATTTGAACTGATTCGAATCAATATATATATTATTACTATCTAATATATATCATGGTTTGATTTGATTCGGATCCATATATGAAGTGCAATTTCTTATACCCTAAATCTCAGGCGTGGTTAAATTTTTTTTGTTCAAAAGAATACTTTTTTAAAAAATTAAAAAAATTTTCTGTGATTATTTGATAAATCATACCCTTTTGAAATTTCAGAACTTAAATCTTCGCTACGATATAATAAATAAAGTAAAATTTTTTTAAAGTCACGTTTTTAATAATTCGGTAAATGATGCAGTTCACTAATTCGTAACAAACATGTTGAGTATTCATTTCGAGAATTTAGAAAAAGAAAAGGTGTATGATCGAATCATCTTTTTCAATAAACCAAGGTTATAAGAAGCAAGTTAATTTTAAACACCCACACACCCAAAAGGAAGGGCGAGGTTACTAGTGAACTGTTAGGGGAATAGTTATACCTCAAAGAGCGGGAACTTTGTGGGTGACTAGAGCAGCGGGCATAATTTAACCAGTTTATATTTGATGCTTTCCTTACAGTGTAATAGAGTTCTGAAAAAAGTTCTTGCGGTATATTATGATATTAATGAGTTGGATCCATTAATAAATAATTCTTGCATCACAAAT